AGCGGGGGGCCCCGGGGACCCCGCCGGCGGGCAGCGGCAGCGGGGCGGCCCTGGCGGCGAGGGGCTGGCCGAGGGGCGGCCGGGGGGAGGGCAGAGCCGAGCCGTGCCGAGCCGAGCCGCCCAGAGCCGCGGAGCCGCGACGGGACACCCTATGCGCTCCTGAGCCGCGCCGGACCGGGCTGACCGAGCCGAGCGGAGCCGCCCCAGCCCAGCATGGCCCCCTGGCTCTGGCCGTGCCTCCTGGCCGCGCAGGCCCTGGCCGCCAACTTTCCCCCCCGGTACAGCCTCTACACCGGCGGGGCCGCCCCGCTCGCCCCCGGCGCGGCCGCGGCCCACAGCGGTGCCCGGGCCGCCGGCCGGCACAGGTAGGAGCCGAGAGCACCGGGGCGCACCGGGGGGACACGGGCGGCAGCGGGGGCACCGGGGGCAGCCCCCACCCCGACGCCGCGGAGACCCCGGCATCGGCCGGGCAGCGGCACGTGCCACGTCCAGCCCGGGGGGCGGCGGGAGCGGCGGTGCCGGGGGCCGGGTCGGCGCTGGGGGCTCCCCTGACCGGGGGGGTCACCCCTGGCCCCGCAGCGGGTGGGCGGTGGGCGCACGTAGAGGGCGGGGGCCGGGAGCCGGTGCCGCGGCGCGGGGATCCCGGGCTGGTCCCGCCTCGGCATCCACGCGGGGGTCAGCGCTGCCGGGCAGGGGGAGAGGGGCCCGGACCCACCCCATCGCCATCCCCGTCCCATCCCGTGCCGGGGGCAGCGCGGGGCGGGCGTGGGGCAGCCCGTGCCTGTGGGTCGGGGCGCAGGGCCGGGGGGCGGCCCCGCGCTGGGCTGGGGTCACACACCGCGGCCACATCGGCGCCGCAGCAGCGCGGCCGCAGGGCTGGAGCTGCCCCGGCCCCACGGCGGCCCCGGCGGGTGGCAGGACGTGGCCCCAGCCTGGAGTGCCCGGGGAGGGGGGCCGTGGGTCGGGCACCCCCAGCTCCCTGGTGGGGCACGGGTACGGCTGAGCCTTTACTTGCGGCTTTGGGGGCTCAGCGGGTGCAGCGCCCCATCCCCGTGGCTCGCGGGTACGGGGCTGTCCCCACGTCCTGCCCTTTCGGGGGGGGCTCCGGTCCCATCCCACTGCTGGGATGGGGACAGCCCCGGGGCGGGGCGGTGGGACCCCAGGGCAGCCGGGGGGTCCGAGGGCCCCGCGGGTGCGGGGCTGGGAAGTGAAGGGGGGAGGCGAGGGGGGGCCGTCGGTCGGCGCAGGAATTCCCGGCGGCCCCCGGGGAGGAGCTGGAATCCAGCCGGGGCCTGAGGGGAACCAGCCGGGCTGACGGGAACCGGCCGCCGCACCGGGGCCCCGCGGCGGGGTCCCAGGGCCGGGGACCGCTCCCCGGGGGACCGCTGGGGGACGGGTCAGGGGGGCCGGGCTGGGCCCCGGGCTCGGACCATATAAGGCTGCGACGGGGACAGGCTGGAGCCCCACGCCGTGGGGCTGGGGTCCCTGCAGCCTGTGGGGCTGGGCTGGGCTGGGGTCCTGCACCTCAGGCAGGGATCCCCACGGTCTGTGGCTGGGTTGAAGTCCCAGCGTGTGGCTGCCCCAGTGCTCCTGCCCCACTGGCACAGAGGGGACAGGAGACACAAGGGCAGTGATGGGGAGGGGTAGGATGTAGGATGCCCGTGCCAGGCAGCATGGAAGCCACAGCACGATGTGATGGGGTGTCAGCACCCCACTCCTGGCACAGCCCCCGTCCCCACAGGGCTCCCAGCGGCTGCCCCGTGGTCAGGTGCTGCAGCCGCTCCTGTGAGGTTGCCGGGCAGGGAAGAGGGGCTGCAGGAGGGCAGGATCCGGCTCATTAACCCGCCGCTCTGGGCTGTGACGGTGCTACCGGTGGGGCTGGTTGGGCGAGCACAGGAGCGTGTCGGGGGATCCGGGGTGTGCCCGGGGGGTCAGGTTGTGCCGGGGGGGCAGCATGTGCCAGGAATCCGGTGTGTGCCTGGGGATCTGGTGTGTGCCCGGGGATCTGGTGTGTGCCCAGCGGAACCAGTCTTTGCTGGGGAAGCCGGTGTGTGCCAGGGGGATGCCTGGTGCAGGGGGTGATGCTGGGTCTCTGACGGGGCAGTGCCCGGTGCCTGCTCTGTGCCAGGACGATGTCTGGCTGTGTGCCAGGATGATGCCAGGTCTGGTCTGGGACTGTGCCAGGTGCGTGCCGGGACAATGCCTGGTGTGTGCTGGGATGATGCCGGGTCCATGCTGGTGCCTGCTCTGTGCCAGGACAATGCCGGGGCTGTGCTGGGATGACGCCCGGTGTGTGCCGGGACCGTGCCAGGTCTATCCCTGAACAATGCCCGGCGTGTGCCAGGACGATGCCTGGTGCCGGCATGTTCCAGGTGTGCGCCCTGACCCCTTCCCTCCGGCAGGAACTGGTGCGCCTACGTGGTGACGCGCAGTGTGAGCTGTGTGGTGGAGGACGGCGTCGAGAGCTTCATCAAGCCGGACTATCAGCCCTGCCCCTGGGGGCAGCTCCAGTGCCCCCGGGTCCTGGCGTGAGTGGGGCCGGGATGGGGCCGGGGGTCTCCAGGGGGGCTCTGGGGGGCCAGCGCAGAGCCAGGGCTGACCGCGGCTGTGCTGCCGCCGCTGGTGTTTGTTTACCCGCCCCGGGGTCGTGTTTACCTTTGCGCAAGAGCCAAAGTGGCCTCGAGTGGTGCCGGGGGGTGACCGGCCTCTGTCCCCCTGGCCGAGCAGAGCCGGGACCCTGCGACACCGTGCAGCTTTTCGGGCCAGTGATGGGGTGATCCCGGTGTTGGGGTGATGCCGGGGACGGGGTGATGCTGGTGACGGGGTGACAGAGCCGGACAGGGGCAGGGACAGCCCCCCCGGCCGCCGGCTGTTGAGCAAGAAGACGCAGGCGCCGCTGGGTCAAGCCGCAGCCTGTGCTGGGTTTGGCTCCCTGGGGAAGCCCCGCACCCCTCCCAGGACCCCCCAAACTCCTCGTCCCCTCCGCCCGCAGGTACCGCAGCTTCCTGCGGCCCCGCTACAAGGTGGCCCAGCGGACGGTGTCGGAGCTGGCCTGGCGCTGCTGCCAGGGGTACTCGGGCCCAGACTGCACCGAGGGACCCGCGCCAGCGTCCCCCCAGCCCACCGGCCGCCCCCCGGCCCGGCCCGGCCGCCCCACGCTCTCCGGCTTCGGCAACGCCCTCAGCGGCCTGGGGGGTGAAGGTAGTGCTGGGGCAGGGGGGCGTGGTGGTGGAGGGACGCGGTGGCAGGGGATGCGATGGCAGGGGGATGTGGCACCCTGACACCGACTCTGGCGGTGCGTGGCAGGCGGCGGGGACGCGGAGAAGGTGCGGCGGCTGGAGGAGCAGGTGCGGCAGCTGAGCGAGCAGGTGGAGGAGCTGCGGGCCGGGCAGGAGCCGCCGCCCCGGGGGGCGGAGGGGCAGCCGGCCGACGCGGCCGCCCCCGCCGAGGTGCGGGAGGCGCTCAGCCACGTCCAGAAGCGGCTGGAGGAGCTGGAGACCCGCCTGCGCCGCACCGAGGGCGGCCGGGACGGCCCGGGGGCGCCGGTGGGCCCGGGGACCGAGTCGCTGCTCGACCTGGAGCGGCGGCTGCAGGAGCTGTGCGCCGCCTGCACGATCGGCACCGAGGGGCTGCGGCGGCAGGCGGCCGAGGACCGGGATCGCATGCGGGCGCTGGAGAAGCTGGTGGGCTCAGTGGACAAGCGCAACCGGGACGCGGTGGAGTCGGTGCAGCGGCACATCAGCAGCCTGAGCAGCCGCCTGGCCCCCGTCCCCCCTGCCCCGCCACCCCCGGACGTGCTCCGGCGCCTGGCGGAGCTGGAGCGGCGGCTGGAAGGGCTGCCGGTGCCGGCGGCGGGGCCGGGGCAGGGGCCGGTGCTGGCGCGGCGGCTGACGGAGCTGGAGGGGCGGCTGAACGCCTCCCGCGCCGGCCCGTGGCCCTCCGATCCCGAGGGGCGGCCGGGGGGGCTGCCGGGGCGCCTGGCCAACCTCAGCCGGGCGGTGGAGGGGCTGGCGGCCAGCGGGGCTCAGCGCGGAGCCCGCCTGGACGAGCTGGAGGGGCTGCTGGCCCGCTGCGGCCACCCCTGCCCAGGGCAGGACGGGCACGACGGGGCGCTCGGGCCCCACCTCCGGCAGCCGCAGGACACCGAGGGGCTCCGCGGGGGCGGCCTGGCCGGGACCCTGGGGGGGCTGCTGGGGGCACAGGGAGAGGCGCTGGTCGAGGAGCTGGAGGAGCTCCGCAACCGGACGGGGCGGCTGGAGGCGGCGCTGGAGAGGCTGAGCGGTGACCCCTGCGCCCGGCCCTGCGCCCCGCTGCCCCCCCGGGAGCCAGAGCAGCTCCAGCCCGTCCCCACGGAGCCCGGGGAGCTGGAGTCACCGCTGGAGGGGTTCGGCGTCTTCGGGGGCACGTCGCCCTCGGAGCTGCGGGAGCTGCGGGGGGAGCTGGCGGCAGCACTGCGGGCCCTGAGCGGCCTCAACGCCACGGTGGAGGGGCTGCAGGACGCGCTGGACCAGCAGGACGCCCGGCAGCACCAGCTGGGCTCCATCACCGACCGCGTGGTGGCCGAGCTGGACGAGGCGGCGGCGGCGGCGGCGGCGCGACAGGCCGAGAGCGAGGAGCGGCTGGAGGCTCTGGCCGGGGAGCTGGCGCGGGCCGGGGGCTGCCCGGCGGGGCTGGAGCCGCGCGTGGCCAAGCTGGAGGGGGTCTGCGAGCAGCTGGAGGCGGTGGCCGGGGGGCTGCGGGGCGTCCGCGAGGGGCTGGGCCGGCACGTGGCCGGGCTGTGGGGGGCCGTGCGGGACCTGAACGCCACGGCCCGCGCCCAGGCCGCCCTGCTGCAGAAGGCGCTGGAGCTGCCGCCCCGGCTCGGGGCCCTCAACGCCAGCCTGGGCCTCCTGCGCGGGGAGCTGGACCGCCTGGCACAGCTGGAGCGGCACGGTGCGTGGGCACGGGGGGGACACACGGGGGTGTGGGATGTGCGGCGTTGCGGGGGACACGGGGCGGTGGGGACACAGTGCGTCGTGGGCCTGAGGGGCTGCAGGGATGGGGGCACACGGGGCATCCCGGGCACTGCAGGGGGACAAGGCATCCCGGGACTGTGGGGACATGGGGGCCATGGGGCATCATGGGCACTGCAGGGGGACGGGGCATCCCGGGGCTGTAGGGACATGGGGGCCATGGGGCATCCTGGGCACTGCAAGGGGACAGGGCATCCCGGGACTGTGGGGACACGGGGGCCATGGGGCATCCTGGGCACTGCAGGGGGACGGGGCATCCCAGGACTGTGGGGACACGGGGGCCATGGGGCTTCCCGGGGGTGCACAGCTGTGGGAACAGTGGTGGAGGTGTGGGGACACAGGGATGTGGGAACGTGGAGTCACCAGGGAACGTGATAGTGGGGTGTGGGGACACAAGGCCCCAGAAGGATCCAGGCCATGGGGCTGCACTGTGTGGGGACAAGGGGACGCCGGTCATGGGAACGGGGTTATCACACATGGGACACCAGCCATGGGTCTGTGGGGTGGGGGAAAGGGCTGTGGGGTCAGGGTGGCTCTAACCCTCTCTTGTCTCCAGGCCCCCCTGGCCCCCCTGGACCTGCTGGACCTGTGGGTGAGACAGGCCCTCGTGGCCCACCTGGGCCTCCTGGAAAGGATGGAGAACAGGGTCCCGTGGGCCCCCCTGGTAAGGATCAGCCTCCCTCGTGTGCCCTGATGCAGCAGTGGGGCAGTGCTGGCACGGCTGGACCCTGTGCCCAGGGGTCCTACCCCAAGCCAGCCCTGCAGCCCCTCCTCATCTTTTCTCTCAGGGCTGCCCGGAGAGAGAGGTAGGGCTGGAGCTGGGGGCTTAGGGGGCAGGGGGGCATGGGGGGCTGGGGGGAGAGGACACGGGGCTGGGGGCTTGGGGCAGACATGGGGAGCTGGGTGGGACTGGAAGGGGAGCAGGGGGGTGTCTGGGTTGGCAGGGGGGAGCACAGGGCACTGGGCAGCTGGGGGGCAGAGGGGCTGGGGCACAGGGGGGGCACAGGGTCAAGGGGTTGCATGGACACAGTGAAGGGGGAGCAGGGGCTGCATCTGCTGGGCTGGGGGGGCAGAGGGTGCTGGGAGGGGGATAGAGAGGGTACAGGGTGGCAGTGGGTGGTGCCCGGGGGCAGGGGCACAGCAGTGCCCTGTCCTGACACGGTGCCCAGGCGAGGTCGGGGAGCCGGGCTCGGTGCCCCGCGTCGCCTTCTCGGCCGCCCTGAGCACCCAGCGCACGGAGCCGGGCACCGTCCTCTTCGACCAGGTGCTGCTCAACGACGGCGGCTCCTACGACCCCGAGACGGGTGAGAGCCCACGGCACGGCCGGGCGGGGGCACGGGGGGCTGGGGGGTGGTTTTGGGGTGATGGGGGTTCCAGCGGGGGCTGTGGGGTGG